TTTCTTACTTGTGATTCTCTACATATTATGTCCCTCTTGGTATCAGAGGACCCAGTGGGGTGGGCAGGCTGCACCCTGGGTCAGAAGAACAGGGAGATGGTGAAACAGAGGAGTGCCAAACCTGGAGGCAAATACACCCCAGTTTCTGCTGCTGCCCAGGGAGAGGGTCTGCAAGTCTGTGATAAGGGATGGAAGGAGACCAAGAGTGATGGGTGGGCCCCCAAAGGCGGTGATCTGGATGCCAACATATCTTGCTCCAGCTTTGCAAGGAGCAGTATGCAAGTGCTTCAGAGGGAGGGCTAGTTGTGGTCTGTGGTTTAGGGAGTTGACACAAATAGTCTCTGAACCCTTTTTTTATGGGCCTGCAAAGGAGTGCTCTCTCTGGGGAACTGGAGCCTGTCATCCTTGGTGTAATCCTTTCCTGCTTAGCAGGTTCGAGGCTGTGCTCAGAGCAAGCAGCCATGGCTGGCTGACAGAAAGGGGGGTTTAGCATCCTACACAGTTTGTGCTGTGTTAGATTAGAATGGGCATGTTGGTAATTAAACACTTGGGTCTGGGTTTCTGTTCCTAAACTAATGCTGTAAATCAGCAATTGAGTTCTGTGGCAGGCAACCTTTGACAGTATTTCTGTGCCCAAGAACCATGTGGGCTAGGCTATTTTTAAACCTCTTTCAGTAAATGCACTGTGTAACATTTTTGTGGACAGAAAATACAGAACAGTGTGTTGACCTTCATTGCTGATCAAACTTCAGTTGCACCCAGCCATAACTGATAGCAGGTCTTACCTGGATTTGCTTTCTGTCAATGCATGTAGGTGGTCACATGGAGGAGAAGTAAAATACTTCCATAATCTATATATATATCACAAATACCTGGATGGAATAAGAAGAAATAAGGATAAATTGTGTCAGAGGGAAAAATGCATTGCAAATCTTTCAACTTCAATGAAAAAATATTCCCATAGTTCAGATATTTCATTCTACATGAAGGCTGATGCTGAACCTAATAAAAATCACCCAGATGGAGAGAGATCGCTACCTAGTAGTAAAATATCAGCACTCCTATTGGTGTGCATTGGGCTCCTTGTACCTGGCAAAGCACTGGTTGCACTGATCTTCCAATTGGGACTTCTACAGGGATGGCCAGAGGGAATCTTAGTGATACTACAAAGAACCCTGTTTACTCAAGAGGGCATATGTACATCTTTTAACAATCTGGTTGTGTACCTTCTTTGTGGGAGGATCCCTGACCTTATACAGAGAGGGACAAGTGCTAATTAACTTAATTCTGGGAACAGGAGGTGGTATGACCTTTTCCAAAGTGATTCTTTTGGGCTAGAGTTTACAGAGAGGTATTTGCTAGGACTGATGCCTGGGTTTGCTATGAAAACATTATTCATACAGAGGTGTAAAATTCGCTGGTGTGGTTGGGGTAGAAATTAACCTCCCAATCTCTCTGGTTAGGGTTCATGGTTCCTTGTCTAAAAATTGTTGGCATGGTGTCCAGATTTATGTTATTTGGTATCAAAACACAGTTAGGTTTTCTATCATATCTTTTAGCACTGAGCACAGCAAGTAGATCCAAGTTATTATTAGACCATTGTTTTAGATACCACCCACTGGGTTGTGAACACCCCATCTTTTATTGGCAACGCAGCGGGAAATTAATTTCTGAGGAATTTTTTCCTGAACTATCGAGGTGTTATTTATTCTGAGCACCTTCCAAATTCCAACCTCTTTGGCCAAAGCGGTAAGGCCATCTTAATGCCATCTCTACTGTGCTCCCTCTGAGCAGCTCAGGGACACAGTTACAAGCACTGAGTATGCCTACACCACCCCATTTTTGTTCTTGCTACCAGCACTGCCTTTGCAGCAACTGCAGAGAGCAGAGCCTATGGAAATGTGCCTGAGGTGAGCAGGACACAGGGCCATTGGGCTGACTCCGCTGAGGAAATGAAATGCAGCCCCAGACTGGAGGCAAGTTGCTGTAGACCCCCTGGCTGGCCACGTGTCAGGCTCACAAAGCATTTGTGATGCCTGGCTGCAGAGACGTAAGCAGAAAGCTGTCCATGGTTACTTACAACTGGAGAAAGGTAGGAAGGCAGCTGATAGAACTGAATTTTCCTCGGGCAAAGAAATATCTTTGCCCCCTGCTCCCTGTTGTCTTCTAATGTAGTTTTAAAAACCCCAACGAGGCAACTCTCCCTCATTCCCCACCACCACTCCCAACAACAAAAAAGCACAGGCTCGCTGGACCCTAAGAGAAACAAACATAAGCACCTCTTTGGAAAACACTGCTGAGGCCTGCGGCCATCCCGCATTCCTGAGGAGGCTGCGAGCCTCCTCCCCAGCGTGCCTGCCCAGCAGGGCAGCCGGCTCCGGAGGCCGCGCTGCTGCTGCTGCTCCCTCGCTGCACCGACATGCCCGCACACAGCCCCCGGAGGGGCTCGCACCTCTCCCTGCAGTGGCCGTAGCCACGATTTGTGCTGCCCCTGCTCAGGGGAACAGAAGCAGCGCCTTCACCATGCGGCATTTTCTGCCATATTCATTCAAAGGACAGCTCCATGTCTGAAGTGCTGCCTGAGTACAGCTACAGGTACAGCGAGGTAAACAGCTGCCACATCCTCATCCTACTTCTTGCCACGACACTGCAGTGGAGCTGGAAGTTTTTCAGCAATGTAACTAGGTAAGGAGTATTTATTTTGATGAAAATGAAGGTAAAATCCCTATTTCCCAGTTGGCTTGACCCCTATTTACAAAGATCTAGTAATGCATGTATGTAGAAGAAATATCTACATGAGTGAAAATGTGCCCTGCTAATATTAAAAGGTACACGGTGGAATTTTGCCTAAGGATAAAATGTCATTTTAATTGAAAGCTGCTGTAACTTGATAGGGCATATCCACAACAGTTTTGAGGATCTACTTTAAAATACAGTTAAAGACAGAGACTACTCCCACTACTTTGTCTCTTAGATCTACATGTCCTCTTTGATCCATCCATGGCGCTTATGATTCCTAAGAGACATGCATACTGCCAGTAGTCTGAACTCATTAATATTTATAGGATACCTTTTTTCTGAAGATGTGCTTTGCAATTATTAATTAAAAACCATGTCACAAAACCCTAAAATTTAGCTCCACTTCATAGCTTATAAAATGAAAACCCAGAAAGTCTATGTGTCCTTTGCATGAGACAAAGTGAGATTAGGAATGTGGCAGCATGGACTTCTACTGTGCCGTATTTCTTTATCTTTCTTTTACCAGTAGCTTTGGACAAGGCAGCACAGGTTTCCTTTGACAATAAGATACACCATGAGCCTGTGCTACATAGGTGATACTGAGAAGATGAGTGAAGGAAGCCTTCTCTTTCATTCTGGTTCTTCACACAGTGCTTACTTGCTTTTTAGAAAGCTTCTTTAAAAATACAACCTGGAAATGCTTTGTCAGCCCTGCAGACCACAGACCAAGTGAATATTTATTTGAACATGTTAAACCCTTCCCATGCACACTGTATTTTAGTTTCCATGTTAGAGTAGAGAAAAGGGATGGTGAGTTATAATCCACACCAGACGTGGGCCCTCTCTTCTCAGTCCTCCCTGGTGCTTATGGAATGAAGGAGCTTGGCTCAGTGTGAGACTGATAACGGGAGGGAGGGCTTGCCATGCGATTAGACCAGTTCACTGTAAACACCTAAGTTGCACAAGTGGCTCAAACTTTGATCTTTTTGTTGTGGAAAAGAAATCTGAGACTCTGAAACCTGCCCTCAGTCACAAACAAGGAGATGGACATTACTCAAGCCCAACTGTGGAAATGTAAATACAGTTAAATGTGATCAAAATGGGAAAAGCGCTTCTTTCTTCCTCATCCCCTGCTCCCGAGTGTAGTGCCTGCTTTTACCAGGGGCTCCTACTCTGACTTGTCTAGCTCTGCTTGTGAACGTAGGCCCCAGTCTCACACCTGAAACACCCAAATCCAAATGCTCCCGAGTGCTGTCTGGGATAAGGTTTAAGCCACAGGTACAATTAAGCTTTTAAGTGGTAAGCCTATTTGGTATGGGGCACACCTAGAGCCTGCAACGAGCTGGGAGAAAAGCGATCAGTCTTTCAAACTGACAGGTGGTTCCTGAAATAATGCTGGAAGGGTTAAGAAGAAGCTACAGCATTTGTGATTCTTCTGGTATTTAGTGTAACAACTCTCAGAACAAGGTCTCTGTGGGTGCATCTGGCTGCCCTAGTGAGGTGGGATTTAATTTTAATTACAAATCTGGTAATGGATTATTGAAATGATGGTTTTGCTGAAGCCTTGGGCACACTCTTCATAGTCCTGTCTTTTTCTCTCACCCTGCCTTCCAAACACTGAAGCAAATGGATAAGTTTTATAGGTGTGTAGTCTGTTAGTCTGTGGTCTCTTTTACTATTGGCATTTAGGCCTTTGATTAGATTTTTAGAGGAAAAATGTCATAGTAGGTTGTCTGGTAAAATGCTGGTGAATATTTTAAGATGCAAATGTTCCCAGGCATTCAATAAACATAAGAAAAATGGGGGATGTTAGACTTCAGCAATTCCTCACCATTCTGATTTTTTGCACTGTCATAGCTTTGCTTTTACAGTCATTAGAACAGCATCAGAGACCTTTGCTTTGCATAGCCTTGAGTCCTTGGGCAAGGATTTAAACATGGAACATTAAGACACGTTAGTGAACATGTCCTAATTAGTCTCTTCCTTGGCTACCACATCCTCAAAGGCCACAAGCCTTACCTACACTATACCTCTCAAACACCTTCAACAATATAGCATTTTATCCTAGTCTAGACAAAGTCTTAAGGGTTATGTTGTCTAGTCAACTAATCACTTATTTTAGTGGGGAAACTGCTTTTCTTTTAGGATTGTTTCTCTGTTTTTTCCTCCTTGCTGTCTCTTTTCTCCTCCTTGCCTCTGCATACCTTCCCTGCAGCAACTCCTGTTCCATCTGCTGTAATAGAAGCATTAACTATTTAATTGCTGATTAGGAAAATCTCATCACGTGGACTTTGCAACAATACTGGAATGGGAGGCAAGAGGAAGAAGATGTGTGAGTTCCCAGTTCTGTATCACAAGCTGACCTGGGAGCGCATTAGTCATTCTTGACGCCATGAGGGTGTTTAATGTCTCTTCAGTCTAATGGGTACAACAGTTGAATGAGATTTGGATGTACCTGAGCCCTTGTCATCTCTTGCTGCTGAACTTGCTATTTGACCTCAAGCAAACTAGGCTGGGCTTTTCGTCCCTTAGGTGGATATAGGGCAAGTACTGTAGCTAAGTGCTTTTTGATTCTTAAATGCAGAAAACATAGTCATGCAAAGGACTAGTTGCTTTTCTTGTATGGTAAGAAGTACTGTGAGGTTTTGAAATCTTTTCTGTGTGCTTCTGCACGAAGTTGCAGAGAGTGAGATGAGAAGCTGGAAGAGATCTGCAGTTCTCCAAGCAGTGAAAGCCCTTTTAGCTCTGCATTCCCAAGCAGCCATATGGGGCTTCTGCCCAACTGACTTATTTCCTTGCGTGATGCAAATTCAGCTGGTGGCCCCCTTCTCTCCCCCTGGCATCTGCTATTCTAAGTATTCGCGTGGGTTATCAGCATTTCAGCTCCTCTTTGCACTTCCAGCACCCAGTTGCCACAGTCGGGTGTAGTCTGTAGTAGATACTTGTGAAAACTCGGCAGACTCGGAGGGGACTGTGGGCGATGTGGTAAGAAAAGGTGTGCAGGTGGACTCTGCAACCCACGTAGTCAGTCTCTGCCCTGAGGGCTTTTTGTGGCTCGTCGTAATTGCAAGTTTCTCACTTGGTTTTGCAGGACTCTGAAAGTTGCGTTGGAGATGAGAATTGGACCTTTTTCATCCTGTTGTGAAAAAGAAAGGACTAAAATATTGGGATAATTGGAAACTAATGAAATTGCCATTGTAAAGGACAAGAAAATGGTATTCTTAGCAATTAGCAAGGAAAAGCATTTCAGTCAGACTGAAACTATCTTCTCATTTGTTTGGGGAGTTTATTGTTAGCAGATGTTTAATTTCCATAAGCAATTAATATTTGGAAAGCTTAAAATTATTTTTATATATGTAAAAAAACGCTTGTATTTTACTTCAGTGATGGAGTAACCTCTCACACAATGTCTCCTCAAAGACCTCACAAAGGCCAGAACTGGGCTTCTTAATGCTTTAAAAGAAAATATGGGTATATGTGTAGGAGAGTGCAGAGGAGAGGGTAACTATGTATGGGCACAGCATGGAAACAACGGACAAAATACCTTTGAGGAAAGGGACAAAATATGCCAAAATACTTATCATCTACCAAAATACTTCTATCTACCTCTATCACTAACAACCCCTACTTCCCCTCCCAAAACCCCACCTCAAAAAAAAAAAAAATCCAGTTAAAAAACATCCTTGCAGATCACGTGGCAGCTGGCAAAGGCTGCTGCTCCTTCTGCCAGAGGCAGTTCAGGCTCTTGAAACAAAGCAAACTGGGTTGAAATTCTAGGCATTAAAATACTAAAGCAGCTGCCTTCCTGACATCCTGCGTTGGACTCTGATTTCAGTTTCGCTTCTGCTAGATCTTGGGTAATGTCATTGCTATGGTGTAACTGAAATGAAAACTGGGGCTGCTAATCTTGACATTGGGTCACCCAGTGGTAATCCATTTGTTATCTCTGTTACATTTGTGAGAGCACACACACCCACTCCCTTTAGACTGCAGTAATTTATTTGGCCTATTTTATGTCTGATGGTCACTTGAAACTGTACCTCTTGCCTGTCAGCAGCTGTAGTTGTTTTGCTAAGTGACGATCTAAAGCGAGAGTTCCTTGTGCAAATGTGTATTTTAGACACTGTCACCAGAAATCCAGTGGCTCTCCTCTCTCCCTACCCCTTTCTCCCTGTCCCCTTCAGCTGTTTAGATTTCAGGACACATGGCTTAAATGAACGTATGCTTGGAGTTTGCAAAATGGCTTGAATGACAGGAGAAATCGGATCACACAATGAGAGTTCAGAACCCAGCCACCAATTGGTACAGCAGGAGTCTGCAGCTCTCTTACGCTCATTATTGTCTCAGCATAACATCCAGCACTGTGTGTTTCTCACGTCCCCTCTGGAAAATGGGAATGCAATGGAAAGAAGCGGGCGGAGGAATGTCCCCCTCCCTGTGAGCTGGGCTGTCAGCCTCCGCTTTCTGTGGAACCCCCAAGGCCTGTGGGGAGCGGTGTGGAGAAGGGCCTGCACACCTCATTGTGCCTTCTTTGCTTACGCTGGAGAATCTCCAGCTTATCCTGCCAGTGCAGTGACTGCATGTGGAGGAGGGGGAGAGGTTGTGTTGCAAGCTCTGAGAAAATTAGTTGTCTCTATTTTATCTTTTGCAGCTGCAGCACTTTTTTTTTTTCTCCCCTCATCATTCCCCCCTCCCCATGCGAGTGGTATGTCTGAACCATATCCTTCAAAACCAGTTTTCTAAGCAGATTAGATGGGCAGCAGAGACAGCTATGCAATCAGGCAAAAATGTGCACTCAAGCCTTCATTTCATGCAGTGGCCAGAGCAGTAAGTGTCTACCACCTGCATTTTTTTTTCTTCATTCTCTCCCTTTGCTGTTATTCTGTAATGCTGTTGTCTGTCACTGATGTAGGCTGAAACAAAACCCTCTTTCTGACCCTTAATTATATAAAAATTAGGGAGGGGAAGGAAGTTTGGTTCCACAGTAATACTCATTAACATGAAACATAGAGCATGCTCCTGGGCTGGCATGCTTCACCATGCAAAGTGACATTTGCTCCCTGTGAGCGTGGGGAAGGGTAATCTGGGGATTACCCTCATGTCCTCTAATACCAGTCCTCCCCTGACCAGTCTGGAAAACCAGTATCTAACTGCTCCTTTGAATTCAGTATACTCCCCTGGACTGTCAGTGCAAGTGAATTCGGTCTCTTGCTACCCCATATCTTTCAGTGCTCCCTATCAGCCTTTGTTGCATGCTAGGAATCTGACAATAATGGTCTTCACCTGCTTTGAGATATCATGGCAACTCTTAAGCATTGGTATTGGTTTCATGTCTGGTCTCTTATAGGACAATGAACTGAATTTGGGACTAAGCTCTCCAGACAAGTTTGGAGACCTTATGTCTTGTTCAGTGTGGGTAGAAAATGGGGATAGGTTAGTGGGCTGAGTGGCAGACCTGGGGAAGAGAGAATTGAGTAAGCCTTGGCTGTCTTCCAAGAGAGGAAACAGAGCAAATTGTCCCAGGAGCCAATTGTTGTTCCTCTGGAGGAGAGTCAGGAACCTGGAGTAAGGTGATCAAGTAATGCTTTTTCCTGTGAGTCTGGAGAAGCAGGGAAGAGAAGCTGTATGATAAAACTAGAAAAGAAAAATTGGGGGTTGAGGCTGGGGGGGAGAGAAGGAGAGAAAATAAATAATTTTCTATAAAGGGTATGAAAAAGGAAAGAAAGAGAAACTAAACTGAAGACTTTGGTGTACTTTGCAGGATAAGAAAGAATCTGCTATAAGCCCAGATAAAGAAAATTGTATTTCAAATACTGGTAGAAAACTGTACTTTATCATGTTGGCATGATGCACTTAATTATCTTCTGTTAATCCCTCAAAAGTAAAAAATTACTTTGAGAAGAGTTAAAAATTGCAAACAACAGAGACTCGATCTTGCTGGCAAAAAGGGGGTGAAAAAGTGGGTGGAAAGCTGGTTGAATGTGTCAACCACAAAAGCGGTGAGATATGGTTGTAGAGAATTCAGGTTTTAAAACACAAGGAAATCGTGCAGAGATATTTCTCACACTGACTTGTAAATAGCATCTTTGGGTGTGCAGCATTTCCAAATTTACCCTTGTTACAGGGGCAACTTACAGTAAGTTCCCACCAAAGCCATACACCATCTGTTTGAATTACTTAGAGGAAAGGTTTGTCTCCTTATTCCTCTTCTATTAGATGTGACAGATTAATGTCTTTGAGGGCAGATCACTGTTAGGCTAAATCTTTCTCTGGTTATGATTCCTTATAACTATAAAACAGTCACAAGGTTATGGGGTTTAAAAAGAGAGGTTTATTGCAGTTTCCAACACTGAAACTACAGGCTAAGTGCCTCTCCTTTTCATTTTTTTTTCAAGAATAAATCAAATCCATCCATACACACTCTGCCTTCTCTCAGATATACAGACCTGGGGGAAGAACACATACTACAACAGTTGCTTTATAGAGTCTACAGGAAAACTACTAAAATAACTTTCTGTGAGTGCATACTAATCTTCCCTCGGAGTCCTCTCCACTTGTTTTAAGAGCTGGTTGCTGAGCATGAGTGGGTGGCACCCCTAATGTTTGGAGCAGAACTCAGAGCCTTCAGCAGCTCCACCAGCAGTTGTTTCTACCCATCTCTCGTAAAAGCTGTTCCTGTGCCTTGGCTCGAAGCAACAAGGTATTGACCGTTCAGACATCTGTTGCAAACCCCCTGGTTCAATACCTGTCAGACTCAAAACTAGTCATTAAACTCGGCTGATGAACTAAATTCTACAGTCCTTAGGTCATGCCAGGAGCTGTGCAGGAGGCAGAAGGGTGCTGATATTGCAATTATTTAAGTTCCCTACTGAGGAAATTTCTGCAGGAGTGAGATTTGTTCATGATATTATTTTTAAGCCATTTTAAACAGTGTAGTTTCTTTAAAATGGAAACATTGTTTTTCTCCTAGAAAACCCCAGTGATAGCTTTCTGGTCACCCGTTAAATTAATAAACTAGTTTTTACCAGAAATGTTACATTGACATGTCTATGCTGCCGGAATGGGAATACCTCTTTGCTTTTCTCTAACTGATCTAAAAGGTTTCACTTGGGATTGGTTCAAAACATTGCACTGGACTCCAGGTCATCCTTGAGCGCTCAGAGAGCTGTTGACTGAGGTACCTATTCTGCTGGACACCAAGGGCCCTAGCCATCCCCTGTGGCAGCACAGGTCTCCCAGGGGCCATGCTGTGCCACAGGAGACCTCAGTGTGTGCCTTGGGAGCTGCCTTCCAGCACGGGAGTCTCACTCAGAACTGGGGACAGGGTTACCAGGCTGCCAAGCTGCAGTGACTGAGGCAGTGCAACACTGTGGGAAGAAAAGCAGCCCAACATTGTACTGACTCAGAACAAAATTTCTCAGGTCAGGTCACCAAACCAAAATGAACTAACTTTGGTTTCAGTAATGTAAAATATTCCATTTCAAATGACACAAAATGTACTGGTGTTCACAAATAGTCACAAATAGGTTTCCTTTTTTTTTTTTTTTTTCCTTGTTCCTTTCTTTTTAAACTTGTGAACTTCCGTTCTACATAGTCTCTAATTTCAGTTTTTCTGCCTAAATTGGGATCAGAGCAAATGTTGAAATACTGGAATTTCTTCCTTTCTGGGGAGGAGGCAGCTGGTGAGTAAGAGCAACCAGTTTCAGGGTTGGGACAACTGACTCTGAAGCCCTGTACATTGGGGCAGAGCAGGTGATGGAGGGGCAGATAGGCCGTGGAGGGGAGGGGAACACACTGGCAGGAGGAGGGAAGTAGGAGACAGGAATGAGAAACAGCAATGAGGGCTAGAACAAAAGATAAGGAGGAGAGAGCAGAAGTTTCTACTTGGTTCCCTGGACTGTTCTGTTTTTGTGCTGTTACACTGCTGGCTGTGCCTGGCTCAGCACCCTGTGCTTGGCTGAGTGTCCAGCAGATGTGTGGGAAGGTGCCACACCAAGAGCTCCTGTCCCAGAGTGCAGAAGGAACTCCTTGGAGAGGTCAGGGGCTGGGTGAGGTGGAGCTGGGGGGTCACACCAGTGCACAACCAGGCAGTGCTGCAGGGTGTCACTTCTGCTTGAAGAGCAGGTGGGTCCTCCTGTGCAAATGGAACAGGAGGTGAGTGCAGGATCAAAAGCTGAGCACTTCTGAATTCTCGTTGTGGCTCTGAGCAGGGCACTGCAGCCCTTGTGAGTTACATTCTCTGCCACTGAGTCTTTTTCTGCAAAGTAGAAAGCACAGGAATACTCTTCTCTGGTGGGACTGGGAAGGAGCTCTAGTGACTGTTCCTGACACTGCAGAGTGTTTATTACGCTTATGATTTTATTATTTAGCAAGTTTCTTGACTTTTAAAAATAAATATACCAAATTGATACACTCCATCCATCAGCAGTGCCCTCGAGGAATGAGTAGCTAATTAGAGAGCAGGACTTGTGAAAAGACAAACCTGGGTTATGCACAGAACAGGTTTCTCCAGTATTTATTGCCTATGTAACTGGCCAAGCTTCCTTGTTGTAATAGTCAAATAATCGGCCTGGGTCCTTTTGTGAATGGCTTGAGTCTGTGTGGTCCCTCCTTTGTTAGAGCAACTCATGGCTTCTGAAAGCTTCTGCACCCCCTGTTCTGAACAGCAGAGCCTGGTGGCACCAGCTGCTTCTGCCTGGAACAAATATTTGCATGTGACATTAAAAATAAAAAATCTAATTTCAAAATGTATTTTCTTTTCCTTATCCCCTCATTTTCTAGCCCTAGTTCAAACTCTGGAAATATTTGAAAGATTAATATATTTAGCTTTTGCTACAAGTATCTTTTAAGCAAGTAAAGCTTGAAGAGGAAAGAGAAATCTTCAGAAATAAAACAGCAGCCAGTGTTTGGAAATATTTTAACAATAGACCATATGGGAGTCTCAAACTATTAAGCTTTATTATTCAGAAGGCGGAAAATGTGGTTTGATATTCAATTGATATACAGCATAAATGAGAGCCGCAAACTCGGCTCCCTTGAGCTGGGATTCAGATGTTCTCTTGAATATAATAACCAATGCTTTGGCCTAGTTCCACAGAATGCATCCAGCCTGCTGATCACAAGCCAAGAAACTGTAGGCCTTTTTTCCCCTTCCCCTCTCTTCTCCAAAGTACTTTCCTCTCCTGCCAGCATGAGCTTTTGGCCTGAATATAAATCTCCTGATACTGGATGTGTATAGAAAGTGGGGAGGATGCTAATGGTGCACAGTAGTGGAGCTGTGTGTGTTTGTTTTTCTTCTGCTTTCATGATAAGGTTTTCCCCTCACAATGTGCTCTCAGGGGATTACATTGGTCATCCTAGGTGGGAGCTTCTTTGTTCGTGTTTCACTGTTTGTTTCTTAGTGCTGTGGAAGCAGGTGAACATTTTTTGGGTTACTGTGAAGTGGTTCCAGAGACCATGAGAGTGTGAAAATTATTGGAGGGAGAGACTGGAAGTGGTTTCAGTTTCTATTCCTTTTTTTTTTTTTTTTCATTTTTTCCCTGCTTTAATTTGCATATATTTATATTTGCCATTACCACTTTCTATCATCTCTCTCTTAACTTTCTCTCCTATGGGGAAAAGAACCCATAAAAGCTGCTTATAAAATATTACATACATGGATTAAGATTGCCTGTATGCAAAAGGAGGCTGAAAGCTTGATGCTGTGATCAAGTTATGGCAGACTGGATCACCCATTTTATTGACACAGGATCCTTTTGGTACCAATATCCTCAGCTGTGTTGGGTCCTGTCTCTTCTATCCTCTCAGGATCTCTGTGGTTTGTGATTTCCCCTGAGTTGGCAGGAAACACCAGCATTAAGGTATCTTGCATTTTTCTCTAGAAGTATGGTGAGCCCAAGAAAAAATACTCCCACTTTACGTGTGAGTTCAGGAATGCCTCTCATGTAGAACACTGGAGAGAATATAAATTATACATGCTGAATGTGAAATTTAGTTTTGGCTCCTGTCTTTTCTCCATTTCTCTTTTCAGTTGTTCATGATAGCTTAAATTTTCCGTGTTTTTGTCTCAACCCATGCTCAAATTTTTTCCTTTGGGGAAAACTGGAGCAAAATCAATTTTAGTGCAATTTTTCAAGCCTCCTTGACTTGCACTTACATCTGTTTGGTGTGGGGGAGTGGAATTTTATCATAAAACATTTGATTTTTTTAATGTCTTCAATAAGCATCGAAGATGTGCCAGGTACTTTCTCAGCCCTTTTGGATGAGAAATCTTGCAAGCTAAGAACTTAATAAACAAAGAAGTTCCAGAACTCAAAATTTCCCTGCTGTTAATATCTTCATATACCTAAGGAATAAACCAAGTTTGAACAAAGCAGATCTTAAGACTTGTAAAGTATAAAATGTCACAGGCAGTACTGCTGAGATCTGTGGCTGAAATAACTGGTTTTTTAAAGATATTTCCAGATCCTGTTATCTGCCCAACTTAAACTCATGTTTTGACACATGAGATGTGCTAGGCAGCTGCTCTACCTTCATTGCAACTGTGAGTCTGTTTCTGTTGGTGAAGCTGCTGTTACAGGTGTGTGATGCTCATCTAAACAGGGTCATTGATTGAGACCAAGGTAAGTTACAAATTGAACGGAAGAGCTATTCCCAGTTAACTTCATCATCCTAATGAAAGATGCAATTTGGAATAGTTAATAAGGAATAGCTGTTCTGGAATAATCCCTTTTTAAGACAAACCCTCACTGTTTCTATAATTACATTCCAGGAAGCTATTCTGTTCTGAATCAGCATGGGATAGAGTGCCTAGAAGACGTTCAGACCAAGCACAGCTAGCGGTGAGTGGGCAATACACACCGGGATGCCCTATTGCAGCCATTCCAAGTGAGCAGCAGAATAGCCCAACTGGTTGCCTGTGCATCTCTCTAAAAGGCAAAGTGAAAGTAAATATGAAAATCACGGTACAAAGGCCTCTGTCTTAGCAGGGATGAAGTCTGAGCCGCCTGTTAGTGTCTGAACATCAGCCTGGTGTTACGGACAGAATGCATGTCTCAACCCGTAACTGATCACAATTTGATTAAATGTTGGGGTGTGGAAGGGACTTGTGTGCTTTTTCCCAATGTGTATATTTACATCATTATGTGGGAGCAATCAATTTATCAAACCCATCTGATTATTCAATAGTGGGGAAAGACAATTGGTTGGAAGAACATGTGTATTGTTTTTAAGGCAGATAGAAAATTGGTTTAAAAGAAACTCATGCAATTCCTTTCTTTTGAGGAGAACCTACATTAACAAACCAATCAAGGAAAGGGAAATCCAGTAATTGATAACCACCAGTAATTTAAAATGCCATGAAAATTTTCCTGCAGCATAAAATTTTGTGCTTGTCCTTGCCAAGGAGAATGGGCTGGAGCAGAGGTAGCGCTCTTGTGCTTCAGCACATTGTAGTTATGATAGAGCTGCTGTTAATTCATAGTTCTCTTGACTTTTGGAATTTATCTGTTCCCTTAAAAGGGAAGGTGGCAGCCTGGAGTGGAGAAGCTCCAACTGCAGCCCTCTGGATGTTAATCCACCCCTACTTTCTTAAGCCTCCTACTTAAATCATTATCTTAATGAATCACCATTGCTGCTATCTTCAGTGCTACACAGGAACATGCAAATTTCAAACAGCCTGGGGGAAAGCCCTTCTTGTCTGTAAAGTGCTCTGATACTTGCATTTAGTTGTTACCATGATAGATACCTTGGATACTACTTTCTGCCTAGCCCCGTGGATGGATCCTGGGGTGTAGCTCTCCTCCCTGAGAAGCGATGCATGTGGTGATTCTGCTACTGACTGGGAGCACAGCTCAGGTGGTTGAAGGCACATCACCATTGTCCTTCAGCTGAGGGCCTCCTGCCTGTGCTTTCCTGTAGCTGCAGAATGACAGAAGGAAGATGATATAGGGCAGTGAGGATGGGGGTCCCTCCTTAACTCTGCAATTGCCATTTTCACTTTGGGCAAGTTTCTTCATCTCTTCACTTGAATTTTTTTCACAGCTTAAATAAGCCATGCAAATGTTCATGGATCAAGTAAATTTTCTTCCAAGTAGGTATCAAAGAATTTGATACAATAGGAAAATTACTGGCTTGCTAGAAAAACATTTGTTTAAGGAAAAACTGAACATAGTGAAGCCACTGCAAACTGCCTCCAAGACTTTCAACATTGTGTTGTCCAAATTTTTCCTTGATGATTCAATTTGGCTACACACTAAGTTCGCCCACTTCAGTTCTCCCAGTTGATCACTTGAGAAATCTTTATTTGTAAATGGTGGATATGGAGAGAGAGCCATGATGGCAAATCTTTGTGGTTATTTACAATATGTATTGAAAGTTTTGATTCCTTTATTCATTAAACCGAGAGCTGGAGAAGCTGTTTCATGCAAATGTCCTAGATGATAAGAAACACCCTTCTCAAATTGCAAAGTCAATTCATCTATTGTCCCTTTTCTGAGGCTTAGAAGTACAGTCCATTCCCTTACTATGGGTGGCTTTTCCTTACTAGTAGTAGTTCTGCTTCTGGAGCAATTGCAGGATGAATGTGCAAGATACCAGGTGGACAGAGATCCTTTTCAACTAGGAGAGAACCTTATTAACAGAACTGAGCTTAAATGCATTTTTTGTGATAACATTATCAGTTGTCAATTCCTGCTGGGAGAGTTATGCCCACAAGAGGCCAGAACATTTATCTCAAGGAGGGCACCCTCATTCTCTCATTCTTAGTCAGGTCTTCTCTGAAACAAGTTCAACTGGAGCTGGATACTTTCATGTGAAGAAGAATGCAGCTTCTCAGTTGGTTACCAAAGAAAGGAGATGTGAACAAACAGTACATGCTGACTTTTCATAGCTCAAAGCCTCAACAGGTGTCCAGGTGTAAGGCAGGAGATATGATCTGCTTCATCACCTGTTTGTGCACTCCTTTCTGGAGAACAGCAAAGAACTAGCTCTGTGATTCAAGTGACTCAAACTTTTTTCCCTGCTTGGTGTGCCTTGGAAGAGACTTCCACTTTCTTGTCATAGTGTTAAAGGCACTCGTTGCAAACTGCTTTACAGTGATAACTTTTCTGCTTATTGTGATCAAGCTGTTGTGGTCGAGATCCTGGCTGGTTCTGATCCCTCATGGAATGGCAGCATTTTATAATACAGGAGGTAAATTAACTGGGGAACCATCTATTTGATTCAGCACCATGAGAAGTGTCAGAGCAGGGATTTCAGAAGAAATATCATGAGGGTGCTGTACATGTGTGTATAAATGTGTGTGTATATTTCAAAAGAGAAAATAGAGGTGACTGACATTTGAAGCTGAGTACAAAACTTAAACACAATTTTTTCTCATTCCAGTCTTGGAAAGTCATGGAGATGGGTGTGGGCAGGTCTCTGGCTGACTTTCTGAATTGCCTTTATGTCAGAACTCCAACAAGGGATTTGGTGCAATTTTTCATCCTATTGAGTAAAAAGGATGTAAAAGTAAAAATGTTCTATCCCACATAGTTTCCTTAGGAAACTGAAGGAAAGGGATTCTTCTTCACAGATCTTAACACACCCAGTGAATTTTTGCAGGCACTGTGTGCAAAATATTCAGTAAATGGGATATCCAAAAGGAATGTTTCAATATGCTGAACTGGATTACTTGATTCCTCCAGAAGTTTTTGCACACTGTCTTATGCTTGTGGGTAGTTGTAGATTTTTTGTCAATGTACAAAGGTTGTGATTTCTATAGTTACCTCATTTAAATTCAGAGGTTTGTAACTATGGAAGTAAAATGTGTCTGTGCTATTATTTTGTTAATCTGTCCTGAGCCACTTTTGTTAACTGTGTGTTTACTCAAATTACCTGCTCAGTTTTCTGGTCAGGTATGCTAAGATTCAGTATTTCGGTTTATAACTTTGGATTTTGTTATTTTTCTCCTGACGTGTTACAACTGCCTGCCAGAAATTCTGAAACTGTGGTCAAACAAACTGCTCTGATGTTTCCTCCCAGTGTTTGCTAATTCAGCAGCACTTGAGCTGCTTATAAGAAGCACAGAGAAACTGCAGCTGAGGACTGTGAATGGCAGTGCTGTGTGAACAAATGATGCACACAGCACTACACAGGTAGAGGGGTTTTAATCTGCAAGCATATCTGTCATTAATTTTAAGGCCTTTAGGAACCATGGTAGCTCAGCTAAGAGAGGGGAGATAAGCCAAGCAATTATATGGAACAGCTCTGTTTGGTGAAGCACATCTTTTGGGATTAGCAGGGGCTCATGAGGCAGGGTAGTGATTTGTGCATCGCACTGCCAAGTCTGACTGATCCTTCAGGACAGTCACTTTTAAGTGGGGCCTCCTGGGAAATTTCTTTAGACTGGGATATTGGCTGGGACAAGACTGAGAAAGTTTCCTTGGTTTGTCAGTATAGATTTTAATGCAACAATGCTCCCCGCTGCTTGCTGGGGAGAACCACATCTTTTCTGCTTCTCTGCTTTGTGGACCTTCTTGCTGGGTGTACAGGTAAAAGAAAGCAGCCATGAGCTTTGAGTGACTGCAAACTGCTGTGCTTTTGGGAAGACTGACAAATGTCAGGGATTTGAAAGATGAGATTTTGAGTGATTTGAATTGGGTAAAAAAATTGAGAGAACTGTGGCAGCAGTTCTTGGGAGAAGAAAAATGTCACCTGTTACCTCAGCAGACTACTTAAGAGCACTCTGAAGTGAGTCCCCAGAAAGTTCTTGCAGAGAGACAAAAGGGCAGCTGGGAGGAAATGCTGTACTCCCTGAAGAAACAACAAACTCTGGATGTTTACCCAGGCTGGTAAACCAAACAGAAACCATCAGTGTGCTGCTGGGTAAATCTGTGGTGTGCCAGTGTCTTAGGCACTGTGCAGTTCTAATCACCGCCTTCAAAGGGAGTGGAGGGCTAGGAAAGGTCTGGAGAAAAGTCAGTCCCTGTGATTTCTCTTTGCCATAGAGAAGAGATGACTTATTACAGAAATTGCAGATGTGTTGTATTGTCATGAATGGGGAGTAGGGAGTGATCCTTCACAGTTCCTGTGTTTGCTAAATTGATTCAAAGCAGGCAAAGAGGAGGCACTCTGTCAAGCAGCAGTTACCACGTGAAACTCATTGCCACAGGGTGTTATGGATAGCAGAAGTCTAAACAGATTGAAAAATCGATGAAGGACAGATAAGTTCTTATTAAAAGTGATGGCCTGGGTGCAACCTCTGGATCAGGAGATCTTTAACAATTGCACAGGGTGTAAGAAGGAAAAAGACTGCCTGTATTCTACGTCATTGCTTTTCCTCCCTCTCTGCCATCCCTCACTTTTTTTTTCTTTTTGGCCCTATTCTGGCTACTGCTGAAGAATAGAGAGAGATAGACCTTTGCTCTTATTACATGGCTATTTTTATAGTTCAAAACTAGAAAGGAAACTAGCTATCCTGCAGTGCAGGGAACTAGTTTTGCCTTGCAGTCCACAGGTATGTAAAGCACACTGAAATGAAGTGAATTAGGAATCAAATGCCTAAAAATGTGTATGTGTTATAAAATACCTCTGTAGCTGGCATCTTTTTAAAAAGTCTGAGTTAACAGGAAGCTGAGCTTATTAATGAAGTGTAAGTAACTACAATGTTTCCAGTTACTTTTCACACTTTCTCCTCTAAGTACTACAGTCGCTGATAGTGCACCTAATGAGCTGACTTGGACATTTTTAACTCGAGTAGCAGTGACACCTTGGGTTGGGAGCAGAGGATGGCTGCCCTCCACAGAAAGGACTGGGAAGCAGGACAGAGTGGGAAGAGGCAGAAAGTTAGGAAGGAGGCTGA